GTCTTTGATGAATTTTAAGGAAAAATTCTTAAAAGGAGGGTAGAACTATAACATCCTGAATTTTTTAACCTAAAGTTTAGATGTTAATCAAGGGTGAAGTGAAAATTAAAGTAGGATTAGAGATTTGGATGATTAATTGGTATTTTGGCTTGTTTGTGTGTTGTATGAACAAATATGGGTGATAGGAGTGTGTTTCGGGTTGATGCAAGTGTGCATGGAGAGAATAAATCTCATTGTGCCATATGCCGCAGCTTATGCTGCATGCACCGCGGTGTATGGACTAGAATTTGCCTTCATAAGTTCTGAATTTTAGAAATTTTCAGAAGAGAGAAATTGAGAAACACATGAAATAGAGAGAGGAGAAGGGCTGAGGAGCTAGGTTAAGTTATTTTGGAGTAGAGGAAGGTGATTCAGATTGGTAACTTGCCAAGTAAGCTATGTATAACTCTTGCCTTCCATTCTACACAAATTTCTTTGAAAACGAGTTATAGGAAAATTGAATCGGCGGAATTTGAGGGGTTTGATTCTTACCCAATAGTAATAAAAAGGTTCTTGAAAGTTAAATTAGAGCTTTGTGACTAGTTTAGAGGTGAACGATAGAGCTTTGAACTTAAAGGCTCAATTTTAGCCTTTAGAGAGAGCAAGTTAGGGCAAAAATCTGATTTGAGTGAAATAAGACTAGTTGAGGTGGTGTAAAGTAGTAATTAGGTAGTTATGAACTTGGAATGGATAAATGGAAAAGAGTTTATGGATGAATATAGCCCTAAGTAGTAAAAATGAGTTTTTGGTCAAAATAGACTAAATGACTAAAATGTGCCAAATGTGTTCAGATTGATATATTAGGCAAGTGAGTAGAGAAAGGAAGCTTGAGATAAGCTTGTATGATAGTGGAAATCTATGGGTAACCTTTCTAGTGATAGAAGGGTTGAGGTAACTGAATAACTTCCTTTGTTTGATTATTTATTATAACTGCATGCTAGTATGCTATGTAATGCATGAACTGGTTTTAAATTGAGCATATTTGGTGGCATTGAGTGATTGTGTGTGTAAAATGACTTTTGGTCAAAATGAGTACTGAAATTGTGTTTTGTAATGTAAAGTGATATATAAATATATGTTATGTGTAAGAAAAAGTAAATTGTAAAAAAGGAACCTTAAATGGTTTGAGAATGCATGATTTGAGTGATGGGAGTTCACCCAAGTATAAGAGATGATAAAGACCATATGGCAAGGTTTCCTTAGTACCTTATTAGAGTGCGGTGTTGGAAACAATTCTCCTTAATGCCTTGAAAGGTGCTATGTTAGAGAAGATCTCCTAAATGCCTATTAAGGTACTGTGTTGGAGATGAGAGATTCCTTAGTATCTTTGTAATATGGGCTGGAGTCAATGACGTCCCATTATGTATGTATTGGGAGAAAACCATAGTCCATATTGTGCGTTAGAATATCTTTAGCCAGGTGATTCTACTACTGCAGGTGAGCTCAAGATTAATGAGAGTGTACATTAGTCTGAGATGAGCCTATGGTTTCATGTCGGGGTGATTTAGAGGTTTGGTTGGTAGAGATCATGCTAGTATTTTATATGATATGATGAAATATCTTGAGATAACATGGAATCCTTTAGGATTGATGAAAAGATGGAAAATGAAATGTGATATGTGATGAAAATACTACGTAATGAGGTTTGAATTGTATAATATGTTTACTTTCATATTGTTGCATGTGATTGTCAATAGGAGAGAGTTATTCTATTATTGAAATTTTTATCTCACCCCTGTGGTTACATGTTTACAAGATTGAGAAGTGATCAGCCCAAGGGAAGAAAGTTTGGATTGGCTTGAGTTGTGAAGCCGTGTACTCTGAGCTTGTGTAATGAACTAAAGTAAAAGATTGTATATATAAGTGTAAATGAGTTGCTATAGGTTGTATGCATGTATTGAATTTAGTTTTTTTTTAAATCAAGCCCGAATTATGTGTATATGTGTTGTTTGAGACAAAAGGGCTTTAATTTGAGTATATTTGCATTGCAATGGTTATATGTTGATGAATCTTAAGCCAAAGGATAAATTATGAGGAAATGAGTAATTTGGGGGCTAAGATTGTATTGTGATTATGATTGGTGAATCTTAAGCTAGAGGACAAATTATGATAAAATGAGTAATTTGGCGACTAAGATTGTATTATGGATATGATTACATATATATGAGTTAAGAAATAGCTAAGTGGGCTAAGTTATGCCAAGAAATGGCATAATATGTTAAATTAGTGAATTGTGAAAATTGGCCATAGTAGGGTCAAATTTTGATATATGTGCATGATTGTGATTAATTATGGTTAATCAGGTATATTAGATCCTTTTGGACTTGGTTTAAGGCCTAATGTGGTCTAATGAGAGAAAGGGATTGATTTGATCGCTTGGGTGCGCAAAATTTTTTAGAAAAGTGATTTTTTACACTTAAGTGTCCAAATTTTGATCGGACCTTTAGATCATGTCAAAACCTATCTCATTAGTTAGTATATAAGCTAAGCTTCGTGTGGGCACTTGAATCACTCTGATTGAATGTCGTATGAGAAAATGCACACGATGGAGGTTTGTCATTTTTACTGTCAAAATAGGCGCGCCGCGGTGCATGGGAGCATATGTCGTGGTGCATGTCATAGACAGGATGAATGTGTGGCTCTATGCCACATGCCGCGGGGCACTGACCATTTGCTATGGCGCATGTACCAAAATTCAATTTTTTGTGTGCTGCTGAAATGCATGCATTTGAGTTAGGAATTCTGGTGGGTTAAATCTACTATGTATTTGAAAAATGTATGATTTATTTCTGCTGTATTTTCTCTGATTGAATTGAGATTTAATTGATTTTGTAAAGTAAACCTTCGGCCGAAGCTTTTAAAATGGAATTTGATTATTGTGATTGAGTTGAGGTAATGGTAATGCCATAATCTTCTCTTATAGGGTGTGGATATATAAGAGGAGGTTACACTACCTGAATGAGCCTATCCCCCAAAATTATCAACTCTATATGTATGTTGAGTCAGTAATTTAGACCAAGCCTAATGGACCAACTCAAACCTGCTTGAATACTTTAAACTCGGTCAAAATAAATCCAACCTATCTGAATTACCAATTCTAGCTAGAAGAATTGATATTCATGGGCTAAAATTTATATTCTAACACTACCAAACATATTTTTTTTTCCTATTCCTATTCTCTTTTTCACTCTTATTCAATCAAAGTTATCTCAACATACCAAACTGCCCCCAAAAATTTCCAAGAACTAAATCACAACACAATTAAAAAAAATATCAAGCATTGAAAGAAGACTTGAATCTTCAAGATCGAGGTTGACTTTCCATGGTCGTAAAGTCAAAAAGTTGTCCCAGGAGTGGAGTTGTGTGGAACTAGGGAGGAATGTGGAAGAAAGCAGATGGATCTTGGTTTAGAAGCATTAAATGCTCCCCAACATTCATTACCCCATCAAAGCTCATTACAAAAGCTACTTCATCCAGTTTTGAGAGAATCGCTACACTAACCTTAGTTGAGTGTTTTTTTTTTTTTTGGTTGTCCAAACATGATTATCTAGTCTTTTAACACCCCAACTTTGGTTTGGGCTATCCCAATCTAGGTTAGAATATTATCCAAATACACACTAAGAAATACATTATTTTATAAAATAACATAAATAAGAAACATGATGGGGATTCTGCATAGTATGTATATATTTTTTATCAATTCTAACTAATAAGCTACTTCATATTAGAGTTTGGATGTGCTTCAAAGTATACAACAGGAAAATACTTAAAATGTGAAATAAATGGCATAAAAAAGAATAAGCAAATATTATAAGAAAAAACAAATATCACATACAATATATTTCTTAGTGATACTCTCTCTTTGCTAAAAACTCAAACAAAGGTTGTCATAACAAAACTCTCAAATAAAAAATAGTATTGTTGGTAAGGATTTGGTCTCTAAATCAGGAGATTGTAAATTGAAATCTTGTTGCCAATGATTGGACCTTATTGGGAAGTGATCTATAAGTACATCTAAAGGCCTTCTTTGAGCTTAGAGACATTCACGTCTCGGCAAGCTCATAAGACTGGACTCAATTCATCAAAACTTTAATGTACAGAAAACAAACCTCAAATTATGCTTAAGAGATTTGAGATTTTAGTTCCAAAATAGGCAAGGGCAATAACTTGTAAAGGGATAGCCCCTCTAATTTCATATGCTGTTAGTAGGATTCTTCACTTTGTTCCCCTTTAAATTAAAACATAATGTTCATCTTGGATTTCCATCTGCAGTAATCGGGTTAATTATAATATATATTATTAATCTTTCGAGGGACCAAGTTAAATATAATGAGTCCATCATTTACTTTGTAAGTATTAGTTGATATATATGCGCGCGTGCATGTGTGTGTATTTATATACAACACTGTGAGCTGTATTTGTGGTTGGCTAACTAAAGCGTTGGCACATAATAAAAGAATGGCAGAGCGTGGGTAGTTCCACCAACATACACGCATGCATGTTACTACGTACGCCGAAGCAATTATCCCAAAAAAAAAAAACAAAAAGAAATTCAAAAAGAAGCCAAGAGCTATTGAATTTTTCATAATGAAATTTACTTTTGAACAAATAATCAGCATAACCGTTATAATTGATCAGCCCGAGAAAATGTGGAAATAGTCTGAAACATGGAGGTGCATGCACCTGCAAAGTTGGCAAAAAATTAAGAATTAACGCATCATTTTGAATGATGTTAACATTAAGAAGGTTGGTGATGTACCCAAATTCTCAGGCATCAGCGTTATCATTAATTATCTCGCAATTTAAATTTCATTACGCAGCTACCTATTCTTACTATTTGCTGTCGCAATGTGGACCATTCACATCTACAATATAATGACACAGCCAGTTGGCAACCCTATAAAAATAACACCCATTGCCATTGTTGAGGTTAAGCATTGAAAAAGTTGAACTATTTTCAGAGCACAGTCTTTATCTAGTAGCAGCCTATATAACACCTATATATATATATATATTCGCACATATATACCCTCTTCTTCCCTGAAATTAGGTAGCAATTCCAGTTTATCAATGACTAGCTTTCTGGCTTTGATCATCTTGAGTGTTGCCATGGCATTGGCAACAAACGGCGCCGAGGCTGCGAGGGCTTTCTTTGTGTTTGGTGATTCGCTGGTCGACAATGGCAACAACAATTACTTGGCAACCACAGCTCGTGCAGACACTCCTCCGTATGGCATTGATTATCCGACTCACAGGCCCACAGGCCGTTTTTCTAATGGCTATAACATTCCTGACTTCATCAGTAACAACTCGATCCTTTCATCATTCCGTTTATTTACGTTTTTGCCACCAGACTGATTAATCACTTGCTTCGGCAGGTCAAGAACTCGGGTCAGAATCTACCCTCCCATACTTAAGCCCAGAGCTCAACGGACGAAAATTGCTTGTTGGTGCCAACTTTGCGTCTGCTGGCATTGGAATTCTCAACGACACTGGAATCCAATTTGTACGTATGTCGGACGTGCCATCTGGCATTGTTAAGAACAAATATATATATATATATATATACATACATATAAGCGCGTGTAGATTAATATTTGAATTAATGACTTGAATGGCATGCCTTCTAAGGAAAAAGCAAGTTAAATTTTGCAGGTAAACATCATCAGAATATACAGACAACTAGAGTACTTTGAAGAATACCAGCGAAGGGTAACTACTTTGATTGGAGCTGCAAGGACAAAACGATTAGTGAATCGAGCTCTAGTGCTTATCACTCTCGGAGGCAATGACTTTGTGAATAACTACTACTTGGTTCCTTTCTCAGCCAGATCCCGCCAATTCGCTTTGCCCGATTACGTCAGATATTTGATCTCCGAGTACAAGAAGATTCTGCGGGTCAGTTTCTGAATCTGATGCGTGCTTTTGCTTTGACCAACTATTCTTTTTTTCTTTATTTTGTTTTGTTTTGTATTTTTTTTTTTTTTTTCTTTTTTTTTTTTTTTGTTTTGTTTTGTTCTGTTTTGTTTTGTTTTTTGTTTTTTTTTTTTGTTTTTGTTTTTGTTTTTGTTTTTGTTTTTTGTTTTTTTGCGAGAACAATGTGGATATGAATACGATTTCAGAGACTGTATGATATTGGAGCTCGAAGAGTGCTGGTGACGGGAACTGGTCCACTGGGCTGTGTACCGGCAGAGTTGGCGCTGCGAAGCAGAAATGGGAAATGCTCGGCCGAGTTGCAGCGAGCCGCGTCCTTGTTCAACCCACAACTTGTCCAAATGCTGGGCCAACTCAACAGCGAACTTGGCTCCCAAGTCTTCATCGGAGTCAACACCCGACAGATGAACCTTGATTTCATCTCTAATCCTCAAGCATTCGGATTTGTGACATCAAAGGTGGCATGCTGTGGTCAAGGACCGTATAACGGCATAGGACTGTGCACGATAGCATCCAACTTGTGCCCAAACCGTGATGTGTACGCATTTTGGGACCCATTCCATCCTTCCGAAAGGGCCAATAAGTTGATTGTTCAACAGATCATGACAGGCACCACCAAATATATGTATCCCATGAATCTCAGCACCATCATGGCCCTCGATTCCCGCAACTGATTAATCCTTCATCTATTTCGCTTTCCTTCAATAATTCTACTACTGCCTCGGCCTTGTTTTATTTTTTCTTTCGTGTTCTTTTTTATTTTGGCTTGCGGGTGAGGTCATGATCGCTACTTTCGTGTCCTCTTATTCGTCATCGTTTCTGTCATCTCTCTCTTTTGGATTGTGTCCAGATCCTATCCTCTCTATACTATTAATATAAAGCAATCTCTCAATATTTTACTTTACTCTGATGCTCTGATTCTTTCTCCCATCACATATAGGATCTACAAAATGAATAGTTCATGATAATTATTTATATACGACACCGTCAAAAAGCTGAAAATTCCTTTTGGTTTCCTACTCGTAATATGTCCCCATCGTTCGACACAAGAAATGGAAATACATTATACATATATTAATGAGTCCAATATATTAATATAATATTCGATTCACTGCATCGCCCCACCCCAGGCCAAAAAAAAAAAAAAAAAAGATCAGCAAAAACATAAAGGCAAATAAAGCATGGAAAGTTCACAGTTTTTTGTCAAAATGGCAAATTCACACTTTGCTCGTTTTCATTTTAACTTATTCTTTGCAATTTATTTATTTTTCTTCCTTTAGATGGGGAAGCGGTTTAGAGAGAATAAGATTTGTTGAATAAGCCGGTCACCTAAAATGGGGTGCAATGTGTGTTCTATAAAATTATCGAAATCTTTTTCCCAAATCAAAACAAAGTTTAGTATCAACACAAAATTTGAATAATGAACTTATAAAAACACTAAGATAAACACTTAGCAAAAATCACGAGAATTCACAAAAAATCACGGCAGCAAAAATGTGACAAAAATTCAAATCAAGCACCTAAAATAGCCACAAGAATGATTATGGCTTACTTCCATGGCAACGGTACCAAATTTTGAACAGGGTTGTCACCTACCTCCCAAAATCAAGGCTAAATTAACCCTAATGTAGCAATAGGGTCAACCTAGGTCATATCCCTATGAAGTGGCCAAGTGGAAAGTGAGATTATCTAAGGGTACAAATTACTCAAGAATTGTGAAAGTTTGGCAAAGCTAAACTACTCAAAAGTGCTAGAAAACCTAAGCTAGTGAAAATGTAAGTGAACTCTTTTTAAGTGAAATGGAACCCTATAGTTTAGATAGTGAAAGAATCATTATCTTTCTCATTGATTATGTCTTTAGTGTTAACTTTTCCTTATTGGCTGAATTAAGCTCCCTATGAAAACTATCCTAGAAAACTTAACCTGACTAGTCCAATTCCCTAATTCATCAATTGACCTCCTTAGGTTATCTTCCTAGTTTGATTTTAGAGTTGACTAAGTGTCCTAGTTAATTACACTACAACATTTTTTGCTTTAGGCAACAATTTTATTTGTAACAATTCTAAAAATGTTGCCTAATATGAGTATAAGCAACATTTTTTGTGTATTGCTATTGATACCTACTTTAAGCAACAAAGATTTGGCAACATTTGAAAATTGTTCCTTAAAGTAGAATAGGCAACAGTTTTCAAGTTTTGCTATAAAATTTTCAAATAGGCAATATAAAAGACTATTTCCTATAATGACTTTATCACAACATTTTAAAAATTTTCTCTATTCTAATAGGCAACAAAAAAATTAAGTGTTGTAAAGTCCTATGATGTAACATCCTGAATTCTTAATTCTAGAATTATTATTAATTAAGGGGTGAATTAGTAATTGCATGTTTGTTTAAGATTTTGAATGATGGAATGTTGTTTTGACTCTTTGAGATGTTACATGGACAAATTAGAGTGGGAGAATGCCATTGTGAAGTGAAGAATGTTAGTACGGTGAAGGGTTTTTCTTACCATGCCACGCGTCATGGCTAGTGCTAAGTGCGATGGGGCATTATTAGATACATTATTTACACACTTTATCCATATATTTAGGACCTATTTTGCATGATATATTTCCTAACTACGTACATTCCTAATGTTAAAAGTGATAAGATTGCCTAAAGGGTGAATTTGTGCACTAAGAGTATTTTAGTCCAAATTTGCACTTTTTATGGCAAATTGGGTTTTTGTTGGATTAAATGTCATTTTTACCTATATTTATAATGGTCTAATTGGTTTTCAAAAATCTATTTTGGTTTGGAAGAAATTGCATAAAGTCACACTTTAGGGTTATTGACTTGGTTGACCTAATTTCGGCTTTACATGTGCATGTATTTACATTGTGCTTTGATCTGACATTTCTATTGAATTTCATTGATAAATATTCTCCCATTTAAATAATTAAGTCTTTGTGTAAAAATATAATTTATTTTTTCACACATATGTTATTAGATTAAATAAAATGTCATTTTGTGATTTAGATGAATGTACAAGTGCACTTGGACTTGTGTCAATTAGGCTAAAGGCAAGCAAGGAAGGCTTTTGGGCATGAGTTAGCCGTGCAAGGCCTTGCATGAAGAGGAGAGAGAGCTGTAAAATTCAAATTCAAATTTAAAATGACTAGCATGTGGAGCCATATTACTCAAATCTCCCAATTAGGAAACTCCTATTCTCTCCTTAATCCTTATTTTGATTTTGTAATTTGGAAATCAGATTTATTGCCATAAAGTTTTGTCTAAGTTTATTCTATGCTTTATCCGCACATATAATTTTGGCCAATTCACACACACATCACTCATTACTCACACAATCATCCATACTAATTCAAGGGTGGAATAATTTCATCCAGCACTCATTCATTCCATTCACTCATCCACTCATTTCTCTTATTCTCTCATCTCTTCTTTTCTATCTCTCTTCACAAATTTCATCCATCACCTACATTATACTAAAAAACACACACAAAACCCTAGTCTCCATTCATCCATCCATCCAAGGTTTTCATCTCCAATAGTAGGCGAGTTTCAATTTGGCCAATGTAACCCTCTCCTATATACACCAAATATAGGAGAAGATTAACTATATCACTCCTCTAAAACACCCTACAGTAATGAAATGCTTAATTTAGAAAGCTTGGATCCAAGACTTATTTTTCAAGATTATTAAAATCATATTACATCTGAATCCACCCATATGAATTTATATAAACTATTGCATGCTTCCAAAATAGAGAAATAAGGTTATTTTAAGGGCTATTCACCGTAACAGATAACACATACATTACGACATGTGGCATAGAGCCACATGCCCTGACCTTTTCTATGTCATGTACTGCAGTGTGAGACACCATGCGTCATGGTGCACAAGTCCGAATTTGTTGCTATCATTTAATAGTAGAAATAATGAACTTTCAACATGTGCCATTTTCACATATGACGTTAGATCGAAATGATTCAAGTACCCACATATAGTTTAACTCATAAGATAACTAATGAGATAGATTCGGATATGATCTAACAGTCTAATAAAAAATTAGATACCCGTGTGCAAAAAGTCACTATTTTAAAAAATTTTGCACACCCAAGCACTCAAATCAATCCCTTAGTCTCATTAGACCATACTAGGCCTTGAGCCAAGTCCAAACACCTTATTGACCAAATATATCACATATATCAAAATTTGGCTACTCAATAGCCTATTTCCACTTTTCACAACATTACACCAAACACACTAGTTTGGTCATTTTCACTACAAATTCACTACAAATCACAACTTAACATATATTTCTACATACTCACAACTATAATCTTAGCCCAGTTAATCATTTCACCATATATCTCCATAATTAGGCTAACATCCACAATTTCACCATAATTTACAATTCAAAACATCCATGAAACCTTATGGCAACTCATTTATACAATATACACATTAGCTTAGTTCATTACACGAACTCAAAGGGTCTTACAACCGATTGAAAATTGTGTCCTAGGGCCAATCATTGTACTATGTACATTGTTATTTAATAAATTTCTCTTTTGTTATCATATCAATTGCATGTTCAGTATGATAATTGTATTCTTGGACAAACTATAGTGATTATCCTAAATGTCCCTAGTTAATCATTTATAAGGGATTATAAATGAAACAAGGCTAGTATGACTTTAATTAATTATAGAGATATAAATTAAAGTCATAAGCACATGAAAGAGTACAAGATGCTGGACCGACCCGCTATAAGAAAGTTACATGGTACAAGTCATAAGCTCATCTCATATATAACCATATTACCAAGCCCTTTGGCTTGAGATCATCATGGATTCCAACATGATAACCACTGAACTTTGACCTAGTCAAAAGTCACTTCTGATCAGGCGATCATAAAGGATATTATTGAGTTTAGTAATATTCATGCATAGGAATATTGGTGGTCAAGATGAAATTTATCTCTCACATTAAGTAAGAGATATTACTGGGATCCTTGATGAGTAAGACTGAGAAAATGTATGACCATACTATAATGGAAAGGGTTTTTCCATTGTTATAGTCAGTCTATTCAGAGATCAAGAAAGTAATGGTTAGGTAAAGGAGAATGAAAATTTCATGTCTCATACTTGACTGAAATATCGCATGACAAAAAAGGTGTGATATGGTTACATGATAAGTTATATTGAATCATCAATCCCCATATGAACTAAGTAGTTGTAATGTTTTGCTAGAGGCCACTTGTGACTTGTAGGCTAATAGCATAATTTGCTTACTGCCAACTTCATATGGGTCTATTGGGTTGCACACAAGAACGGCCCAACTTGACCTATAATGTCTAAGTTTATTGAATCTGAAATATGTCTATATTCGATAAATGTAATATAGGGTGAATGAATTATATATATATATATATATATTTGAATATTTATTTGATAAATATTTATATATATTTATATGAAATATAAAATTCACAATATAATTATATATATACATATATTTTGAAATATATATATATATATATATATTCATATGTGTGTGTGTGTGTGTATCTGATACATATATATATGTGTGTGTGTGTGTGTGTATGTATATGTATATGATATATAAAATTAAATATATAGAATATAATATATATACTCCCTTCATTAAAAAATGTAATGCATTTTTTGAGGAGTTAAATATTAAAAAATGAAAGGCATTTTTAATCTTTTGAGATGTAATCATTGCACTTTTTTCAAAAGTGCCCCTATTAATTAATGACTTTATATTTATTGTAGGGTGTTTTATAAAGGTAAATATGAAAAGATAGGGTTAGTTAAAAATTAGGTAACTATTTTTATTGGGGGTGAG